ATATTTCCATCATATATTGCATATATGATGAATTTTAAACGTATTTTTATTTTTTTATTTTATTTTGCATTATTACCACCATTTGTTGCTGCTTTCAGTGCGCAACTGGATTAGGTTTTGAACTGCTTTTCACTTTATACATATTGTACATACACTTTGTACTTTTTATACATACATATGTATATAAAGTAAGCTGTTCAGAACCAATTTTACACAAAGACCCTAAATAGGGAAAATTCAATACCAATAAATTTCAAAATACCCTATAAATATGTAAAATAAGAATTAAAGAATTGTAAAATTAAAACCCAAAAGTTAAAAAAACCAGAAAAAATACGAAACAGGAGGAATTCAATCAAATTTGACATAGCGTTATCAAGAGGAGGGTACATCAGACTCAATTACAGTCCCTCCTCCACTTGAAAGCCACTGCGTTTCTGTATCCAAAATTAGCTGATGAACCAGTCTAAAGTGTCAAATTAAAAAAAATTCACCTGAAAAGTTCTTTTTAAGTCTTAAATAATTTTGGAACATTGTAATATATATAATATGAAGCAAAATTATTAAACTTAATTTAAACTCAAATGGCAATAGACATTTGTATCCATAAATGTTAATTAAACACAGCCTCCCTTCGAAGATACGTTTTACATCATTTTGAGACTCTCTGCAGCATGTTACATCACTCTTTTACTGCAATTTCTCTGCGCCGCAAAATCTTTTCCCGATCGCTGCTCAGAGTTAAAAAAAACTTTCCGGCTTATAAATATGACCGCAGTTATTATAGTTCAAATATCTTTAGAATGCCAAATTTTTGGCTGCAAAAGCATAAGCACATAACATTAAAAAATTAAAACAACGTGAAACGCGGTTTGAATAAACCGCGGTTCTCGCTCCGCCTTCTTTCTGTATTGTTTGAATAAAGTGTGACTGCGTATTGCCCCTCAAAATACTCTGTGATTACGCTGGGCCTCTCCATATGATGTTTTAACAGCTTAATCATCAAGCAATAAAGATATATTTTGATTATCTCAAGGATTTTATCGTTTTTCTAATCGTTCAATCATGTACCATGTTATCGGCATGGGTGTCACATCTGTTATTACTTCGACCATAATTAACAAGTTGATTGGTTTCACCTTCCGCAAAAACTACAACATCACATACACATATGTATATCTTTATTTTATTTTAATCAAACTAGGATATTTTTTTTTCCAATGGAAGATTGTGAACAATTACAAAGGTAACCCAGTCCATTAATCTATACAAGGCCGGATGTGGTGGTCCCTTTATTATGGAGGCACCTAATGGGTGGGCTACCCATAGCCTTCCTATGAAGGGACGGACAGTTACAACCATGCCTTCTCCGGGATTCGAACCCAGGCAGGCCCTTCGGCATCGCAGTCAGCTTTTCTGACCACTACACTGATTGGGCGACTCAAACTCGGAGTTACTATGATTTATGATTTTCCCTGTTTCGGTTAGGCCATTTTTATGTTCGACATAAAATAGGATCAATAAGCGCGGAACCTCCTATGACAATCCAGTAATTTCCCTTAAGTTTTTTAATGGTTATTCAAGAATTAAAGTATTAATTTGAAAGTTGGGTAGCAAGTATGCTAAGTTCATCCTTCAACCCAGGGAATCCTCTGTGCCTGAACGTTAAATAATATGTATTTCAATTTTTATATTTTTTAATATTTAAAAATTTTTAATAATAAGCTCTTTTTCTAAGTTTTAGATTATAATTTGAAATTTTCAGATTGCAGGTACATTTTGCCTTCTTTTTCTTCTATTAATTACGATATTGTTGCTCGTTGAATTGGGCTTTCCAATATGAATTAATATGAGCATGATGGGCCATGATTTCAAAAGGTTGAAAATTGTTCTTTTGCTTCCATCCAGTTCTTAATTTTAGGTTCCCATTTCAAATCACCTTCTTGATGTTCGAGCGTAACTAGACTGGAAAAGGGCAGTAGCATTATAGACTGTAGCATTATAGATGTAGCATTATTAGACTGGAAAGTCTTATAATGCTACATCGTTTGACCTGATCCACTTAAACTCATAGTTAAATTCCGCTACCGTAAACAGTCTATCTTATTATTTTTACAATATCGTGAACAAAAAAAAATCTAGTTAGAAATTTTCAGGTCTTTTAAAAAATATTTAATTAAAATTTTAAGACTGAAATTAAATTATAATAAAACAAATCTGAAAGCATTCAGATTTTATATTACGCACAAACTGGTGTTGTTTTCATTTACAGACACATGCACGTTTGGCCATCACTTGGGCTAACGCCACATTGGGCTAAAAATATTTAAAAACGGTATATCTTTAGAATTTCCGATAGACGGTCTCTCACGTTGAAGATAAAAATTTTTTATTTCCTGCAGTTGCGCCCTTGCTCACTTTAAAACTGTTGAGCTTTTGAAACAAAAATTCGTTAAAGGTTTACAAAATATGAAATGGACAATAAAACAAATTCAAAATTCCAGGTGCCCATGTTTGAGTGGAGGGCTATGTTAATCAACATTTGATGGTTCTAGGTTCCGTTGTTTTTGCACAGTGCGAGAAGTATAGATGCATTCATGTAGATTACTCATTATTTATTTTCTTTAAATATAATGCAGGGCGATAATATTTGGTGGGAACAATTTTAAAAGTGATACAGCCATTGATACTTATACTTAAAACCACATATACTTAAAAGTGATACAGTTATTCGACGCAAAATGCCGTTTCGAGACTAACAACAGCTCGTCTGGGCTTAAAAAAAAAAAAAAAAAGAAAAGAAAAGAAAAGAGATCTGATTGAAAAGGAAAATATTTCTTTTGAATTGCAGGAAGAGAAATAAATGTACGTAGTTAAAACTAACTAAGATATTTGTGATAAACGAAATAAATATTTCGTAGCTCTAGTGAAAATTTTAGGAACTGGGAATTTAAAAAAAAATTATTAGAATTAAATATTTTAAGAATTCGTTTGGTTTAGCTTATTTGTTTATGACAAAACCTAGTGAAGGGATGACTTCTTGGAGGACTTTTCAAGGAAAACTGGCTTGTATTTATGTCACACGCGAGGGAAACTATGAAAATGTCCATGCAGCTTCCGTTCGCTGGAATGAAAACCAGATATACTTACGAGCGTCACGACTTTACGCGGACGCTGGCAGATCCTTGAATAAAAAAACCAAGGAACCACATTTAAAAGAGGAAAAATATCAAGAAGGCTGAAGGGTCAGATCTTTTGGTGTGGGGTGTGTTAAGGGATTACTTGTGGTGAACCTCATAATGTGAGTGCGTTGACTTAAAGAGTCGGCGATTCTTAATGCGAAATTTTGTGTCTTGCATATTCCGGATGTCCAATCTCTTTTAGACCGGCTAAATAAAGGTTTAGGCGCATAACTTCATATTTCCCCAACGTGAACAAAAACCAGCCTTCAATTTTTAGCCCGTGACTCCATCGTGGACTCCGTGTGTAAGTGGACTACATCTCGTATGAATTCGAAAGAGCGAAAGGATAGATAGCGAGCGGTTTCAACCTTTGATAACAAGTACCCTCTTAACAAAAACTGAAACCTTCAGTACCACCACGACAAAGTACTACTACCACCACCACTCTTGAACAAAGCTCAGATCGCATAAATTTATGAGTGTTAAGAGAAAAAAAACTCAATCAGGATATTGGTTTTTTAATTTTTGAATTTAATAGTTAAAAATAAGTTGCTTCTTTGCGTGCCACATATTTTTCTTTTGCGTACCACCGGTTGAGAACCCCTAGCTTAGAGCTGTTAGGGACCATTATGTTACTTTTTGAAATTAAATTGATTTGTTTCAGATGAACGTACTAATTCAAAAACTCACAAATAAAGTACATTAAAATTGAGCTCAATTTTAATGTATTTTATTTGTGAGTTTTTTTATTTTTAGAAAACCATTATTTATCTTAAGATGATTATCCGCTGTCCCAAAAATTTTTGTCTTCTGCGGATGTGATCGTCGATGCAAATTTCAGCAGTGACTTTCATTTACTTTCTCAGAAATACTTATTATCAGTTCAAAACTGGATGGTCTTAGGGAAGTAATCGCTACGACAGGATTCACACTACTACAGGATCGTTACGACAGGATTTTATTGACAGAGAAAGAAATAAAAGAAAAATACTGTTGAGTGTAGATTACAGTAAATGCTTAAAATAAAAAATAATAGTTTATGAAATGTTTTAATTACACTCTTAACTTTAGAATATGGTAAAATGTATTGAAAATTTAACACGATGTTCTGCAATTGAAATTAAACAGTTTCAAAGACATTTCATGAGTGTAAAATGAACTTAAAATATATCGTTTTCTTTTTTAATAGAATATAATAATTGCACAATTAAATGGGAGCGTTGATAACCATCACCACACGTCACATTTGGTAAAAAGAGAAAGCAGTTTTATTCTGATTATTCTGGATACTTCCGATTAGGGTCATGTTACCTGCGGGTCATACGGTGAAGTTAAAAAAGAAAAACAAAGAAAGAAAGTCACATTGGTGAAATAATGTCGCTTTGTATGTTAGAAGCGATGTGGATGACGCATCATTCGAAAAGTGCGAAAGTCTAACCAAGGTATGATTTATTGGCTTCTAACGCAAATGGGTTGAGTCTCCTTAAGAGGTTCGTTGCCACATCTAAACAAACAAACAAACACGTTGGGAAGTTAGAGAAGACAGTGTTTCTTTTTATTTCTTGCTCTGTTTTGAATTACCAAACAGGAGATAAGATGCAGATCTTGCGTGTCAACCTCTGAGATATTAGTTCGCGCCTCCAATGTTTAAAACTAGACCTCCCGATTGACATGCAAAAGCTAACTAATTGTAAACAAAACATGTTCTGTTGCGCTGACATAAACTTTTGGGGGAAAATATTAAAGTAGAACACGGTTACTTAGATATATTTCCCTCGTAAAAGTTAAACGAAAAAAGTTTAAATCTATTGTTTCGGTCAAGGGCGATATTATAATACAATTTTAACATGCATAGGGTGTAAAGGCTTATAGCCAGTATAAAAGACAGTTGCAGACCAAAATGGGACGCAGTAGTAGGGCACTACTCAATTAGAAGTGTTCTTGCATTATATTTCCATGACGATGAAGGTTCTGGTAAGTTCTTTTATAAGATTTTATGTGCAAAGCTCTAAAATAATGAAAATCGTGCATTATCAGTAATAGCTGTAGCAGTTTTATGATATGCCCCATATATAAATAAATTTTCTTAATTATATACTACTAACCAAACACGATTTATAATATGAAAACTTGTAGTTCGGTTGAAAAATTAATAATCTTATCTCAAAATTCTTTATTTTTATACCTGAAAACCGAAGCTCAATTCAGAAATAAATGTCTTTGTCTTCGAAGGTCTTTTTTATACTGTATTAAAAATTATGCATAAACCAAGAGTGTTTAGTTTTCTTTACTATAAACTATGCTTTAAGGAAAAAAGTCAAGAAACTTTAGTGATGCGCAAACAACGCAGAACACTCCTTCCGTCAACTTTTTTTTTCCACTTTGTAGAGGAATCTGAGAAAGAAACATTTACAATTATGCTCTCGCTGGGACTCGAACCACAGATTGCCCAGCTGCTAGTTGAGTTTTCTAACTCCTACGCAACAAGACCAGACTTATAACTTTAGCTCCTAATTTGTTCCAGCATATTTAAAAATCATTTTATTTAAACTTTTCCTTCACATCAACACGACGAGTGAAAATGATGTTTAGAATCCGAAATTTCACACTAAATAATTTTGTATCAGATATTTGATACGTGTATTAAAATAAACGTCTTAATAGACTAGCCAGCAAAAGGAAAAAAATGCTATAAATCAGCCTTCAAAATACATCCAAAGGTCATTTTCGAGAAAGTTAAAGGCGTTTTTCCATTCGTTCTTGTGATTCAGTAGACAATACATACAACTAGTAATTCGAAAAGAGAGTATAGGGTCTTTAAAATCTTAAAATATGCTAAACCTGTAGCACATTAAATATGTTATAGATATATATAGCTACTACTACTTACTAGATAATTTTACTATAAATATCTAGTTTATGATCATGAAATTTTGCACATTTGCTTGGGTATCCTTGGTACTGTATCTACTATGTCTACTTTATGTTCCAGATATTAAAATATTTTTAATAAGTAAAATAAATGAACGTTTTAGACATAAAATTATAATAAGCCTTGTACTCAGCATAATGTATAAACAAATCACTATTTTTAACTAATTTCGTTTTGAAATTATAAAGAGAATATACAATTAAAATGATCAACTTTAAAAATAATGAATTAATTTTTCTAAAAAAACAATTAATTTTATTTTTAGACCCCAAAATCGACTTTTATTTAACACACAAAGTTTAGTTTACTTCCTATTATAAATATTATAATAGTTTATCATTTCATACTCAAAAGTGGTCAAAATTTCTTGAACTTCTCACCCAGCTGCCTAAGTATATATTACATAATAGTATTGCGGAGATAATCATCATAATTTTAGTTGAGACAACGGTAAACGACGAGGTGAAATTTTCACATGATTTCAACTTTATTTAGTTCTTATGTCATAATCATAATAATTGGTCCTTTTCTGCAGATACAATTATTACACAATGAAAATTTCCTGAAATTCTAATCAACTATTTCATACGAGTAAGAAGTAAAATTGCATTTATATGAAATATTAATTGAAAAATTAAATTACTTGAAGTTCTAAATGTTATTACTTTCTTTAAATTAATAAATATATAGATTGAATTATGCCAATAAGTAAACTTTTATATCATGGGCTACTATATATTTGCAGCGCATTTGCTTAAGAAACAGAGATTAAAAAAAGATAGATTTGAGTGATAATATGGCAAATGCACTAAGATAAAATAACCAGAAACCCTTGTCAAAAGAGAATTTTAATTATTAGCCTTTGACATTTATACATTTACATATATTTTGACATACATTTTATTATTATTTGACAAGTATCATTTAATATTTTTAGTTCAAAATTACATAATATATTTAATATTTTCATAAATTAATCGCAAAGACAAATAAAACCACTATACACTGACAGTTTGAGATTTTTGAGCTCAGGAAGACTACAATACAAATAAATATTATTTTCTACATATTTAGTTTCTACATAACAGAATTTATGGCCCTTATCTATTAAACTGAATTCAGAAAAAAAAATTACTCTCGCTTATTATTTGATGGATAAAACAGAATTATTAATGTTAAGTTTGACATTCTAATTGATATTAAATTTTAGTGTTTAATCATTTTTTAAAAATTTTTATAAATATTTGTTTTTAATAATGTTTCTTTTCTTTTCTTTCAGAGCATTGTAATCCTATTTTGTATTTTAAATTGTACATTAGCAACATATGGAACTTTAAGTGGCCCATCTTATGTCACATATGATTCCCAAACTCCAATCAGTTATACTGTAGGAAGTTCCGCAGGTCAAGGAATTCCTTCCAGTGCGATATCATATGGATCAGGTGGCTATAGTTCTTATGGTGGTCATTTAGGTGGTGCAGGAGGTGCTTATCAAGTAGCAGTGTCACCAAGCAGTAGTTTCTCAGGAGGATATTCTTACCCTGTAACAACAGTAAGTTCGGCAGGTTTAGGAACTTCTTCCAGTGCATCACTGTATGGAATCTCAGGTGGCTACGGTTCATATGGTGGCTACTCAGGAGGTGGGGCAGGCACTTATCAAGTGGCTGTTTCTCCAAGCAGAAGTTTCTCTGGAGGATATTCTTACCCAGTAAGACGAAGAGTCCCTTCTAGTGTATCATCATACGGAATCTCTGGTGGCTACAGTTTATATGGTGGTTACGCAGGAGGTTCAGGGGGCATTTCTGGTCGTCAGATAGCCGTGTCTCCAAGCAGAAGCTTTTCCGGAGGATATTCTTACCCATCTGGACAATCTTATTCTATTCCAGCTGCAAGAAGGCCATCAGCTGGTGTTTATACTTCTCGGTCTCGATATACCCCCGCACCTCAAGTTAGAAGTGTAATTCAGTCCCCTCAAATCCAGTATACAACTGGCGCTATTCAGAGTCAGTATGCAGCTCCTCAAATCCGATATAGATCTGGAGGAGCTCAGAGGCGATTAGCTGCTCCTGCTGCTGCCCCTCGTATTAGCTATGCCGCAGCTCCTGCACCTCAGATTCGTTATGCTGCTGCTCCTGCACCTCAGATTAGTTACGCTGCTGCCCCTACACCTCAAATTCGTTATTCTGCCCCTGCACCTCAAATTCGTTATTCTGCCCCAGCACCTCAGATTCGTTATTCTGCCCCGGCACCTCAGATTCGTTACTCTGCCCCGGCATCTCAGATTCGTTATTCTGCCCCAGTACCTAAGATTCAGTACACTTCCGGTGCTGCTCGATCTGAATACGCTTCTTACCCAGCCACTAGTTTATACAGCCCAGTTGGCAGACCTTCATATTCAGCTATCAGACCAGCAACCGGATATTCCGCTCCTGTATCTAGACCAAGAATCAGATATTCTGCTCCTGTTTTCAGACCAGCTGTCAGAGATTCTGCTCAATTTATCAGACCAGCTGTCAGACCTTATACCAAACAAGCAGCACCAGCTGTTGCACCTGCAGTCAGTTACTCTGCTCCTGTAGCTCCAATTTCCAGCTACTCAGCTCTTGTCTCTAGACCACAAGTTAGATATTCAGCTCCAAGGCAACAAGTCAGATATTCTGCTCCAGTTACCAGTCAAGTTCGTTATTCTGCTCCAGGTATCAGATATTCAGCTCCTTCTGTCGCTGCTTATGGTACATTAACCAGTTCGGTTTCCAGTGCAACGGGCAGATACTCTTATCCTGCAACCACTTCATACGTACCTGCTTCTGAAGTCGCCCAGACTTCCTATAATGTTATTCCAACATCTTACGAAAACATTCAGGAGGTTCCATCCAGGGTAGCTATATCAGCTCCTGAACCTGCTTTATCTGCTGCTGTGGTGCAAACCAGCCAACCTGTTGTTACCAGTAGTGTGTCTACTTTGCCAATCAGTACTTATAGCGGTTCATCCACGCTAGGATACAGTGGTGTCGGAGGTTTCAGATATGGTGGCAGCTACAGTTTTCCTACAGTAAGGAATTACGATGGCAAAAGTATCAATTAGACAAGTTCCTGAATTCCTTTAATGTCAAGTGAGTCTTTTTTGCATTTATATTTTATACAATTATACAATGGATTAAGTATTTAACAAATAACTTTCAACTAATATTGGGAAAAGAAGAAGACAATGCTCACTTACTTATTATAAATCTTAGCTTTCAAAGCAAGTCTGCAGACTTATGTATAAGAACATTACATATGAGCTCAGCCAGCAAATCATGAATATTTACAAAGTAGAAATTAATATTGTAACGCAGTAAATGTGTTGGCATATTAAACATTTTGCTTTATTATTTTGATTGCCACTAAGCAATCACAATCTCGGGATTTAATAGTTTATGTATTCCGATCAAAATTCTCAAAAATGAATTGTAACATTAGTGGTTTATAATAACTTCTTATTATAATCTTACTAAAATTCTTATTTTTCTTAATTATATTGCGGTTCTGTTCTTGTGCTAAACAATGATTCTTCTGAATAATAGTTAATACGACTTGAAACTATTTGAAATTCAGCATATTTTAAGGGAAGTGACGTTTGTATACATATCTGATAGACCCTGCGTTAATTCTGAAAGAATGCGAAGACTGTAAATAAAGACCCTTAATTTACATCCTACGTATTTTCCAGTGTGCATCCGTATCGTGCATTCAGAGGCGCTAAAGTTTCTTAAATGAAATTTTTTTCATAATGATTATAAATTTGCAATACTTGAGAAGAAAATATTCAGCAAATTTGCTATTCAATCTGGTTTTCCTTTTTTTCATGAAGCTGAAGATTTAGTTTCTACTAATATAATTTTATGTAACAGCTCAAGAATTTCCGTAATTCTCTAGAATTCTTTTGTTAAAAGAAATTTTATCGTATAAAATCGTTTCTCGTGGTTGTTAAAAGGAAAGTTTTCTTTAATTTCTCTGCAGTTTATATTATGTACACTAATTGCCAAATGGATAAGATCACTAAACACTGTTAATTTGTTCTCAAATCAGTTCCAGGCGAATGGTTTGGCTGCATGCGATTTTTCCTTACGTGTGAATACAACCCAGTTTGTCTTAGAAAATTCTCAGTGAAGATATTTATTTATCTTAAAAGATATGGCACTCACCTATTTTGCCTTAACGAACTAAACATTTCGTAGCTCGCAACCCGTTCAGAAAAAAAAATTCTCCCTTTAATTTTTTAAATTCTATTCTGTATGAATTTTTTTCTTAACAAAAAACTTACAGTTGCGTTTTGAAAAACTTGGGATTTTAATATCTTCTTGGACCTTTTAATTAAAATATTTAGCTGGTTATTGATTCATGGCAAATAAATCAATAAATACTTTGGCTGACCATTGGTTAAGCAGATAAAACCATGAGATATTAATTGCTCTCCCGAACTCTATTTCCAGTTATTGAAAGAACAACTTGTACAAGATTTTAGAGACTCTGCTCTTAAATAACAAAAAAGATACTTTCAATTACAAAATTCTTTGTGACGAGCCCCTATCATAGGCATAAGATTATAATACCTTGGTTATTTCAAAACGCACCACTTGTCTACCAGCGACCGAGAGATAAAAGCCGCTGAACACTGGTAATTCGATCCGGGATTCTAATCCCGATGAAGGGACAAACAGCATGGACGTTTTCGTAGTTTTTCTCATTTGTAACGTGGATACGAGCCATTTTCCTTAAAACGTCCTCCACAGAGCAATCATCCCTTTCCGTTGTAAAGTGTCTATAGGCGGAGTGTAATAAAGAGAAAAGATACATTGCTTCCTATAGGCAGTGCGCTTTGCTATAATACGGTTAATACGATCGAATTCAGTATATAACTAAATCTCTAAATTACTAAGAATTAGTAAATTTCGATAGAGAGCGGTGAAAAGACGCAGTGAAGAAGTGATGCAATACGAAATTTTGTGGAATTAAAATTAAAGATAGACCAAAGATTTATTAATGAAAAAATAGAATCATCTAAAATTTTTAATTTTAGTGGTAGCTTTTTCCTAAATATCAGTTAAATTCCTTGCTTTTATTCCTTGCCAAAATGGTAGTGTTTTAACACTATCTACGTTTCTTTCACCAAAAGACTAAGATTGGTCATTAATTACTTAATAGGTATCATTTAAGAAAAAGTACACGGAAAAGTTTAAGTAAACGTAACTTTCTCAGCATATAAATTATCCAGTCTTACTTATGTATTTACTTACGTGAGATTTGTATTTCATATAATGATATTATTAATCATGCCGAGCATTGTCAAGAAATAAAAGTCTTCGAAAATACGAAAACCAAATTTTCCACCGCTTTTAAGACAGTATTTACACAAAATCTGAACTAATCGCACAGCATAAAGAGCTTAGTTAAAGGGGTACTTACTACGTACTATCACAACCACCTTGCTCCAGTTTGGCGAACTTTACGGAAGGAAAGGAACAATTACTTTTGTCTTAAAAAACTATAGCTTAACGTTCACGTATATTTTACGTTTTAACTATATACTTATCCTCCCAAAAAACAGTTAGTAAATCTAGTTACAAACAAGTTTTTGTTTCTTCTATTCTAGAAAAATCGTAGTGATCGCTTTTAGAAAAGATTCAATCCATTATTCATTTAGCAATAGCGTGACAAAATGCTGAACTGCAGTAGAAATTTCACTTCTGTTTCGCCTATCATCGGAAAATTCCACAAGCACAAAATTTAAAATCCTGTTTAAAACAACAAATACTCTTACTTTTTCCTTAAAATCCTCTGAAACTTCTAATACAGCAAAAAGAACACATACAGAAATGGAGATGTTGCAAACTGAATATTTGTCATGCGCATGGTTGCCTGAATAATTGCTACTCGCATGGTTAACAGAATTTGGTGTATTCTAAATCTTTGGCGACTTCTACTAAAGGCGCTGTGATAATACATAAGTACCGTTAAATGATACGTAGAAGAATCATTTTAGAATCACACCATCTGTACTATTACTGTCATGTTGCTGTGAACATATATACTCGTATTTACGTATATACAGAGTGAATCTACAAAATTTTAAGTTTGCACAAAATCGAAAGTTGAAGAAACAACATACACAGCCTTACAATTCTCAATCCTTGAATGTCTATACGACGCTTGGGAAGTTCATATAACTGTTCGTATAACTTAGAAATTGCTTGACGCATAGACAATTGTGTGAGGGCATATTACCGTGTAGTAAAACCCAGTTAATAAGTAGAGTTTTCTTCAGCTTAACTCACTGAATTCTCATCAGAAGTATGTTTATTACGTCTTTACAAAAAAGGAATTCAATGTCTGTTCCTCAAATAAATTCCTTGTGAATCGATAATTCACAAGGAATTGCAATCAAAAACAGTCACTAACATGGTGTTTACTCGAGATTTCCAAACCGAAGTTTCTGTAAACTGCGGCGAACCTTATGAAGCCCAAGCAGGTGATTGTCCGTTTCACAATTTTTTCAAAAAAATTCTCAGTATCTTCCATCTAGTCATGACATACGAAAATTCGATCTTCTTTCAGTTCTGCAGTCTATGCATGAGGGGAAAAAACAAGATTTTTTTTTCAAGCTCATATACGATAATATTTTTGACAATATCATTTTGATATTTAGCTATCATTCGAAGAGACAAGTGATATTTTTGGCAACATATGTCAACTATTTAAATGCTCTCATCCATTCGAGGTTATGAAGGACAGCTATATCATCAACATCTTGACATTCAATCATTGGCATTATCATAGAAAAATCTATCCACAACAAACGATATGATAGGAAATGCAAGATAAGATGTCATAATAGTAAATGCTGTGAATTATATGGCAGATCTGAGGGACTTTTTTAAAATATTAATCCCAAAATGTTTAGTCGCCTGTGATAATAGTATATGTAATACTTGCGCAGGTACTACATATCAAAATAGTTACATCGCAAAAGAAAAACGTCTGATATAAAATACATGCTGTAAGTCGGAAGCATTTAATTTTAATTTTTGTTAAGTTTGAAAGATTTTTTTATATTTTAATTCATATTTTTATCATAGATAAAATATGAACTACAGAAAAGGATCTGCAATTCAAATGAAAATTTTATTGCAAATTTCTGCAGATCAAGTGGAAGAGAAATTTCTAATGAAAACTCGAAAATCATTTCAAGATACTGGTGGCGGCCTCCTTTTTTCAGGAGTAAATTAATCCGACCATATGCATTCATTTATTTAATGCTATAGAAGTAATGAGTCTTTCCACTCGGAATGCATTTAACTTTTTCGCTTAAAATCAAAAAAGGTTAATAACAAGTATCGGTTAAAAATATAAATTAAGAGTAGAATTTTAAAAGAATGAATTATAATTTTATGCCAATTAATTCATTTAATAATAATTAGGTAACGTTAATTTATGATTTAGAAACAGAAATATATAATTAAAAGTTAATTATGATATTGCTTCTACTTAAGTATAAAGAATACAAGAGAAGTAATATTTTGTTTAATTTAAAATTTCGCAAGTAAGCTTAATTTGGGTTTTGAGGGCGAAATTACTTGCTGTGCCAAGACTGAATTATCTTGTAGGTTATGCAGTCATTTTCTAGAGCATCCCACTCTCCGATCAGAATTCTCTTCGAAATATACTTAAATTTACATCACTTGATAGTAAGCTGGGGCCTTGTGATTTTGATTAGTGAGGGTAATAGGCTATATCATCAACCTGAAACTTTTCTTCTTATGAATATGGACATATACAGTTTTATCAACCAGCTTCGTTACGCAAGTGACCGTTTGTATTTTCCATTTCTAAGGACCATTTGTCTCAGATATTTGAGGCTTTATCTCATGTGCACTGTTTGCAATCGATCACTAGAGCAATGCGTTTGCATTTCAATGGAGTCTTGCTTATATAATTTTTCTCTACCACGGTACAGCATATCTCAGAAAGAAATTCATTTCAATTGTGTTATTTATTATTGTTGTGAAAAGCAGAGTTAAGTGGCCACCCAACAGCAGTCGACTAGATAAGATAATTAAATTTTGAAAGAGCATCCCAGGCTATTTCCTATGGCTGTGAGGACCGGCAATAATGGTATTAGGCTATGTTTCTACTTGAATTCATGAATTACGAACCAGTAATAACGTCAGAAATAGTCCTCCATGAAGTTTTCCCTGCTAAAGCAGGGATAACGTCATAGATCGCCTGGGAAAGCAGATAATCGTCGAGTTACTTTGTCATATAAAATAAGTTACATCGCTCTCTGTTTTAAATTATTTTGATTTTAATAGAGATTATCTGCATTTAATTGCAACTGGAGAATAAAGAAAGAAAAATTGTTATTTATTATTATTTTATTTTTTTATGAATTATTTTATTTTCATTTTATTCTGAATATCCCTCTTTATCAGGGAAGTTAGCGTAAACGGGCACCAAATTTTGAAAACGTCTTCCTAGAATAATGTTGACTGTCATGAAAACCAAACACAAATGACTTTCCTTCCTTTCACATTGTCACCGTTTAAGGAACCACGATCACTATCAGAAAAAGATGAAAATCGATTTGGGTTGCTGGAGGCTGACCAGCGTTTTACAAAAGAAACGCCTTCACTAACTTTTATCATGCCATTGCCATTGCATCGTGTATGCAAAAGTTCTATTTCACTGTAATTTTTCCATACACGTCAAAAAACTGGTGATGGATCACAGTAAACAAAAAGCAATACACTGCATTTCCCAGGTGGAGGCGCATTTGCCTGAACTGAAAATTTTATACCTTGCAGAAATAATGCGTTTGTTTTCAAATAATATTTGTTACTTGTATATATAATGCAATTTTTCTTAAATGGACGTAGTCGTCACAGCAGAATCGCAGTCAACTAATTGGTGAAGAAATTTACTTATAGAATATTGCTCTCATATCTGATAATAATATACAGTATAAATTATTACATTTCTCAGCTCATTGCCAAAGGTTATTTTACAGTAAATAATCAATTCAATTACGATACCAATATTTCTATTTTTAAAATCTATAGCTGTTTGAAATTGTAATAACGCTTGATATTGGCGTTTTTCAGGAATGTAAATTGGCGCAAGTATGTAACTTAGAAATTAAAGATGTTTTAGTAATTCTAAATGAATCGCCTTATTCATTTCTAAATTATAATTTAACCATATGCTTATACTATCAATACTATAATTTGATGCTGACATTAAAAACATACAAGATAATAGTTTGTAGTAAATATAACATAGATAAATTTTCAAGTGATTTTAAGCCGAAATCAGGAGAGAATTTAGCATCATAAAGCACCTACATATATTCGATTCTTATTAGAGCTATTATGACAGAAGTAAAAAGCTTTTTATCATAATCTCCTTTTACTATAAATATGTTGTTCTTTAGCGGCTTCTTAAATTAAAAAATCACACTTGAAATGAGTATGTTGAATATATATGGTTGCAACGGAAGTTTTCCATCAAAAAACGTTCTTAATAAAGTTAGAAAAAAACATGAAAGCAATACCTTTAGTCAGGGTAGTAATCACCACCCAAATATATCAACTTTTTGCCAACGTTTTGGTAGTTTTTCAAAGCCTTCGGCGCAGAAACTTGGTGGCCGAGAGCCAAAAAACAGATCAACCTCATTTCGGACCTCTTGTGCAGAATGGAAGAAAGCATCAGCAAGATGTGCCGGTGAGAAAAAGGTAGGAAAGGCTGCAAGAGCTGCCTTTTTCACACCAAACTGCAGGTGTGAAAAAGGCAGGAGTCCGAAGGAGCGATGTCGGGTCTATATGGTGAATGTGGCAAAATATCCCATTCGAGTCCATACAGATTCCAGCCGGTGAATGCAGACATATGTAGTCTGGCCTTATCTTTGTTGGAATATTAATTTTTGCGCCGGAATTCAATTAGACGTTTTGCCTTGACAGCCGATTCAACACGAACTAATAACTCTCTGTCCATCTTACTGTCGAGAGTGTTACCTTTTTCCAGATGATTTTTGTGGATAATACCACGGCAATACCACCAGATACAAAGTATGATCTTTTTTGTTAGTCAAATGGCGCTTTGCAACGCTGCCGACGGGCTCACCAGCTGCAGACCAACCCTCTTTTCAGCCTATGGTGTTTAAGTAAATCCACTTTTCATCACAATTGACGATCCGGTCCAGAAATTGTTCTTGCGTTTATTTCGAACAGATTAGTGCAGGATCGAACACTTCTGCCTTTATCTGTTGAGTCAGCTCATGCAACACCCAGCAATTAAACTTGTACGGCAAGTTTATGCGATGCATAGCGCAACTAATGGACATGGTACTAACGTCTATATCCTTAACAAGCCCTCGAGTGGCTGCATGGTGATCTTCTTCCACAAGTTGTCGCAGGTGGGTCTCATCAATGTTAGTAGGCCGGCCAGAGCGCTTTGGTTCTTGAATGTCATAGTCCTTGTTTTTCAACTTTCGGTACCAAACTGTCAAGCGCCATATGATACAGCATCAGTATCTAATGCTGTATACATGATTTTGGTGACGTTCTGTAGCTGACCTTTTGCAACAGAACTGGAAGTAAATTATGGTTCTAATCTGGTAGCGTGATAGTTCCATTTCAGACACCTTGTACATAACGATAACGATATTATTTTACAAATTTCACAACACAGTGCTCTAAAGGAAATCTCTTTCTTTCAACTGACAAAAATCGTTTGAAAAAATATGCTTAAACACGCTAACGCGCACTATTTGTACAGACCATATTTGCAGTGGCGGGGAACTTTCGTTAAAACTCGATATTTACTGTTGTGCTGTAGCTTGTATTTACTAAAAAATGTGCCCTACTAAGTAATTTTCTATTTTTCTTTTACAGGATTTTTGACATCTTTAAGGAGTTCCCAAAATGTGCTTTGAGATGCAATGACTTATTTCCAGAAATAGACTTTAATCGTAAGATCTTTCAGAAACAAATTTTTCCAGAGAAACTGCAGTGTTATCGACAAAACGAAATTTTCTGAAAATGCTCAATAAAAATTCTTAATTTAGAATAAATACATTTTTTATTTTATTGATTGTTGTTATCATAAATAGTATATACTTCATAATTAGTGCTAGCTAATAACAGAACAAATATCTGCACTATTTGAAGGAAAAGAAACTGGTATCTGTGTTTTTTATTTCATGAGTGTAAAGTTTACATTCATTAAAAACATTAGTGTTGACAAGTATTTCTGTTATTTGGACAACAAATTGTGTCTTTCAAGTTGTATCAGCATATATTTGTATGTATATTCAACTAAAGACAATCAAATTTATTAAATAATTCAACATTTACCTGCAAGGTTCTTTCAAACAATCTATATTAAACAAATAAAAAGGAATTACTATAAGTTTATGTCCAAAATTAAAATTTTATTTGAATTATACACAGTTATTTAAATCATTTTGATGCAAATATACAACAAGGTGCACGTTAAAAGGGGTAGCAGAATGCAGCTACAATAAACTCTTGTTACCTTGAGATCCATGAGACCGATAAAAATGCTCGAGACACTTGAAATTGGAATTTTGAAGAAATTCAGATGAAATTACAATTTTCCATATGAATTTCATTATATTACTATTATTGATTAAAATGTTGTAATCAGTGTAACGCATTATAATAATCATAAAAAGAAAAGAAACGTAATAAAAATTACATAAATTATGAATAAGAATAAATGATGCACTAGCTGTTAATAACAAATAATATAAATGGTGTGAATAATGGTAGAAAATATTATGCATTTTTAATAAAGTTTTTGCATTAGGAAAAGTACCCTTAAAATCCTTTTTAACAGTCCGTAAGTATTTAACAATGAACGTATCGAAGTTTTCTGCCAGTGTTAGTTAAAGGTTAATGGCAAAAGCGGTAAATCTTCGTTGCTATCTTAAAAGTATCATTTCTTATATGTTTTTATATAGGATACGCAATAAAAGTGTGGTGTGCTTTCTTATAATTTGATAAAATCTGGCTCCATACCATTATTCATTATATTTCGAGCATAAATGTCTACATGTTTGAAGCAATATGAAGAACTCTAGAAGGCAAAATTATATTAAATATATAGATTTAAGCGATGGAGTTACTTTTCTAGACAGAAAAACATAATTTAACTTTATTATTCCTGATTGTTAAAAGTTTTATTTTTAACAGTCTTGGATAATTTCACTTTCACTTTTACTGTTATATATTCGAAATTATGCTGAAATTTTATCTCGCGGTCAATGAAATTAACGCACCAAGAAGACACTGATATAAATGCAATTTAATAAGCATAAAGAAACATGTCAAAGATGCACATGATCTCTAAAGCAGAGCAATAAGTGAAGAGGTTGGGGACTTAAGCCTATCTTTTTCAATGCAGTGTTGCCGTACCGCATGCAGTGCCGCAACACAAGGCCACAACACGATCCGGCACGAAATTCAACAGACGTCTGATACTGCCTTGTGGTACATGGATTTACTTCAAGCTCTAAGAACCAAGTCACATTTTATCTGGTCCTAGACATGTTCAGTAGACACAGGTCTGCGAAGAGAGTAGACCATGAAGGTATCTGCATATGATCGAAACAATCCTAGAGAGTTTGCCGATAGCGGCCTAACGTTCCAGGACTCCCAGCAAGGAATGGGAGCACATATAGTCGGAAAATCCACATACCGTTAAGCAGTCAATGTGCTACGGTATCGTCACTAGAGCGGTCGGTTATCGCAGTTTATGGCTTTCCAGACCATAACGCCAATTGTTGGGAACGTTTGCCGTTATCACGAGGTTGTGATTGCATTCCGAGCCACAGAACCTCTATAAGTGTATAAAATGGTTATCCTACCCCAAAACGAACCGATGCCCTTAGATTCCTCCATGTAATTTATCGAACTCAATTCTGAGAACAAAAAACAAAAAAAATTATTTTTTAAACTAATTATTTAAGTTAGCTTTCTTATCCAATAAAATACTGGGAGTTCACAAGGAATTTATGAACTTCACAAACAGTTGATGAACTGATGAATTTGGAATTGATGAAGTATTATATTTATAAAGATTTTTTCCATCATCTGCACGGTTTTTAGATGTACAGTAAAGCAAATCCGTTTAATAGATATTCCGATGTATTACTTATAGACACGTTGTCATCATAAGACGTAAAAACGTTCTATAGCATTTTCTTAAAGCGGGAAATTATCTTTAAAAAATATTAAAAAATCAAAGAATATTTCTTGTTCTTTGTTAGATAGGTTTCAAAAATTGTTTTGGATACTCTTTTTACGAATCTGCATTTCTTTCTAACATGAATATATATTCTGAACATTTACTGAGCAACAAAATATTCTCATTAAATCATGACTTGAACACTAACTTCATTTCGGACCTTATTTTACGATTTTTCTGATATCTAAGATATTTTTCAATATAAATCAGATTAACCAGTAAAATATAAGATTTTTCAAGAATTTCAAATAAACATACGAATTTCGTATTTCCCAGTTATTTTCTTAATTTATTCTCGAAAGTCATCAAGACAAACATTACCTATTAATTATTTGTATTATTGCTATTGTTTCGTTTACAGTATGCACCTTAACCCTGAAATATCAATATAAATCGTCGAGCGCAAAAGGGTTTCGTGAAACTGTTAATGAAATTTTGAAGCTAGGAATGATTCTCAAATTTTCATGATTTAATATGCGATTACCTCACAAAGTTTGCCTTTATTCACCTGGCGAAATTGTTGCCTCAATCATTGCAATTCAATTTCAAGAAAAAGCCAGTTTTATTCTAAACATCTACAAAAAAAAAAAAAAAAAAAAACAATACAATGACATAAATATTTTTATGAGACGGGAAGAAATTCTTCAATGATTTCTGTTATTTAAAAACATTTGAAGATTCTGTTGTCAACTTCTTCTAAAATTTTTGTTTTGTAATAAGATGTTCTGCCTTTTTTACAATTCGGTATAAAAAGGAAGTCCCTATATCAGAGGGTAAAGAAAGTGGAACCTTTCAGTACAGATAAATCTTCATTGATGCGGGTCCAAAATTATTAGCAGAAAATTAGTTTTTGATGCTCTTCTGTGGAACCAATATTAAAATTAAATCCTCAACAGATCCGTATTTTACGATGAAAATACGATATTCCACAACAATTCTTTCAAAATTTGGAAATCGGTATTTTTTAATGTTCAATTTTTCTCATACAGTTTAACGATCAAATTTATCACTGCAGAATTTCTGTCTTTGCACCTTCGGATAGACCGAAAAACAAAAGTTTTCTAGAATCCGTTGCATTACTTTCCGAATTACGGCAGTTTTTCAAAAATTGTTCAACTATTTTAATTAAATTTTAATTTAAAAAGTAGGATTGCTAACAAGTGCGGATTTGTAAATTAAAAAAAATAATTTTTCATTCTAAGCACCCCACGATTTTAAGTGATAATGGAATCGCATTTCTGAACTAAAGAGTTATTTTAACATATTGAATGTAAGCTTACATGACAGGATAAATAGGAATCCTCTGTCTTTTTCTTTGATGAGTTATAACAATGCTATCATCATTACTTGAGTCTGTTCTTTCACCATCCTCAGAATCACTAGCAATCGAATCAACATCCGAAATAATAGCCTGTGCCAGGGTTATTTTTAAATATATATATATATAAAAACGGTAAAAAGTTATTTCAGAATGCACTCGTGTTACAAAGTACGCGTGAGGTCAGACTACGTTCACACACACGGAGCAACAACGACACACTGAAACTCGCAGCGCAAAAACGCTGAGTCACGGTTTTCGAGACAAATGAATTTGCCCCGCGTAGCAGTCAAACGGATACGTAAGTACGTATAGATACTGTACGTATACAACATACAGACAAATATACTGTATGGGTACAGATACTAAACTTATACAGTATACGGACACATATACTGTTTATAGGTAGAGATATTGTAGGCATACAATGACGTACGTATCTACAAATACTGTACGCACTGTTTTTCGTAACGTCTGTAAGTAGGTATTTTTCCAATAATGGCGAACGTAAATGAATTTTTCGTTCGTTTAAAATCTGTTTTAAATCCATTTTGCAATCCATTTTGGAAAAAAGAGTTCTTTATTCTGGCAGTACGTACAGTTGTCACGCAAAAAAAAAAAAAAAAAAAAAAAAGTCAAAATTGATATTTCCTTTGAATATGTTACCCAAAATGTTTCTCTATTACCATACTTCTTTTACTTCGTACAAGAAACTTAACATGAAAATGATCTTACCTAAATACATATCCCTTTGGACAACAGCCTTATTTTGAACCCATTTTAAACAATTTCAAAATTCTTTAATTTTTTTAATTTTCTATAAAACAAAATAAAAATAAAGAGCAATATTTATTAAATTTTTATTTTTATTGTAACTCATTTGTAATATTTTTATTTAAATTAGCCAGTTATTTCTAATTTCAGCCTTTACTATAACTTCTACCTTCGGTTTTCTCACCAGAATGTAAATTCTGTTGGACAGAATTTAAGCTAAGGTTTTTGGACCGTAAGACAGAGAATGTTCATGCCCCCCGTGGTTCATGCCCCTCGTAGTTTCTGCCAGATCTAATAAGTTTATAATTATTTTGCTTTGTATTGTTGCCGGCGACGCTTGATTTTTTATGCCGGCTATAGTTTTTGAACCAGCTTAGATTTAAATTTAATTTATCTTTAAATAATAGTCTTCGTTTTAAATTCAAATTAGACTTTTAATTTAATTCACGTCTGAGAGGCACGTTTGAGAGGACGTGAAGTAGAAGACTTTGTAGCAAGTAATGATCTATCCATTCATAATGAGCCTGAATGCCTGCCGACATTTGAAACCGTTAATGGAAAAGGGTGGCCGGATTTAATGCTCTCATCTGCAGCCCTGACCCCCAAAGATAAAAAATTGGACAGTTGAGAATTCCAATACCAACTCAGATCAGAGGTACATTACCTACAGTATAAGCCAACAGCATGAAAGGCTAGTAATGAAGCGCTATAAGCTTACCAGAAGTA